AAAAAAAAAAAAAAAAAAAAAAAAAAAAAAAACAAGGCAAAGACACATATTGAATTTGTTTAGTGATCTCATAAAACTGTTAAAAATTTTTCTTACAAAACATTGACTATAGGATTGCAACAAGACTTTACACCGTAGAATACAAAGATTTTTCTAAGACGACTTGAAAAAAAAAGAAAACCATATGAATTAAATCAACTACAAATATAGTTCGACGTACCTAAAGACAGATTATTAACCATCAATTTGTTTTCTCGCCTAAAAAAGGTTGAGGATAGAAAAATTTTAAGTTTACAGTACACTATCAAGTGTTACTTAATATATCCGTTTTAGAAGTACCAAACAACAACAGCAGCCTCTAGCAACATCTAATATTTCTGCGGACTTTGTGCTCTCTTTGCTTCTGCCTACTAAACTACTTCTGTTTCATGCATATATTCGCTGTTTCAGTGACGGTAAGCGAAATATGATGACAAAAAAAATAGATGTCGAAAAAGGTATATGGAAAGAAAAAAAGTTGGATAACTATGAAACAGTAGCTGCAAATTTCTTCTGTTTTATTCACCACCAAATACCACCGTTATTTTACGCTTCATTTATTCTCTGTATTTGCTCCTTCTTCCTCCCAACCACTTCACTCATCGTCATAGTTGTCCGCCGTCGTTGTCCTCTTAATTTTTTTTTCTCTCATTTTAGAGGATATAAATGCGTTCATCGTTATGGTATTGCTAATAAATTGGGATGGTAAAAAAAAAAGACTGGAAAAAAAAAGCATTCAACTAATTTTTCTGATTGATAGATGACAGAAAAAAAAAAAGAAGAAAGAAAACAGCAAAAGATGGTGCGAATAATAGCAAAAAAAAAAAAAAGTATTTTAGCATTTTTATTCTTTCGTTATTCATTTTTTTTTCTTACCAATTTCTTTTGTTTTTTCTTTTTCTTAAATCTGAAAAAAATTTTTTTTTTTTTTTTTTGATAGAGGATAAAGAATTCTTTGTAAAAATTGTCTCTCTTAATGAACAGTTTTTAAGTGTTGTCGTTGTTATTGCTGTTGCTGTTGCTATATTTAATAAATAACCGAAAAAAACAAATAAGTTCTCCATTTCTGAAGAAAAAAAAAAAAAAAGCAAGGAGCAAGAAACATTAGACACAGATGGTACTTAAAAGACAAAAAAAACAGAGAAGACAGATGACAAAAAGAAATGGAAGTAACCGTTTTTGAATCAGTTTTCAAAAACTGGATTTTCAATCATTGTCATAGGCGATGGCGATAAGGAGGAACTTTGGTTGTATCAATGGCCATCTCCTCTGCTCCACAGTTTTCAAACAGTTGAAATATTCATTTGAAAGAAAAGGAAAAGAAACAAGTATACATACATAAACACACAACTATAAGCTAGCAAAAAATTAATTATGAAAAGAAATTTTTGGTGTTTTTAAAGAAAAAAATGACCACCAGTGAATTGTTTTAATCCTAAAAATTTCTTGAAACAAACAGTAATTGCAGAAGAAAAAATTGACAACAACAAAAGTTTCACTTGTAATCGTTCAGATAAGTCTGGTTTAAATTTTCTTTTTGGAAAAATATCTCTTGTCTTTTCTGTTTCCTGTATATATTTGTTAAAAGTCAAGCGATTGATTGACAATCAGATTTAGATTAAAAAGAAAAGAAAACTAGTAAAAATAACAACAACAACGACGACAAAAACTGCTTTGACCTTACAATAGAATATTTTTGTAACACTTCTGAACCCCGTCTTGACAACAAGTCTTTGCTAATTCAAAACTTTATTGTTCAATAAATCTGTCAAAAAAATCTGTGATATTTTACTGCTAATTTCTGCTTAGTTTTTTTAAGCTTTAGA